ATATATATACATATATATATATATATACTGTATTGGTCTGAATATTGTGCGATGTTTTTCCTAGACTGTTACCTGCTAATTAGAAGCTTGCACTAAAAACTAGTCTAATACTTTAAAAATTATATTCAATTTAATGTAGTCGTAATTTGTTCTAAAAGGCGATAGTGTCGACATCGCGTAAGTTTTTTTTACAGTATTAAATATACAGTTTATCGTCTCCAGATTGAAGTCGACCGCCCCTTTAAATGGCTAAATTTATTTAAAATACAATTTTTATTTCATGAAACTCATTATTTAAAAATCCAGCATCGAATTGCTTAACTTCCCCCCAACAAATTTTACAACTGCATGTGTGGCGCCACCTGTTATGATATTTTATTAATAAACATTTCAATATTTTTCTAACAGTGCATTATTTTTCTACAGTTTTGTGCATATGGTCTAATTCTTTACTAATGTAATATTAGTTTTATTGACCCCTTTCTTCTGCTCAATGGACAAAGTATTCAAAAAAGCATTAATTCTTTACTAATATCTATTAATAATTTGGAATAAATATTAATTTTACTTACAAGTTAGTATTATTTCTCTGTTATATGTAAGAAAGAATAAGGAAACAAATTACAATATGTAAAATTTCATGAAAAATATTACTTATTATACATTACAATAGCATTTATTAAACAATAATTTACAATGACACTAACACGATATACAACATTGTTAAATCCATACGGCTTCTTTATTTATTCTGTGATTATTGTTCTGAAACATTTCACTGAAAATTTGATCGTGATTAAATACACAATGTTCGTGTGCAGTAATTTTATACGCGATAATTCAGTCGTTATTTTTAACAGAAATAATATGTATTTTAACATGATTGATTCAATGCTGTCGCGCATTCAAAACAATACTTTTATTTGAAAAATTCGTCGTATTGTTAGAACTGTTTAATAATACTGTGAAAGATAATTGTTTGTGTTAAGATTCGTGTACATTAGGATTACTTTTGTGAAATACCTAAAACAAATGATGACAAGATGACGACAAATCAAAATTCGATTGAAGAAAAAATAAATAGAAATTTCAACTTAAATATGAAGTAATTTATTTCAGATGTAAAGTGAGTATATATGTTACCGTTAAAGCTCGAAAGTCGTTAATTTCGTAAGTCGTTAAAGCTCGAAAGTCTTACATTACCTAGCTAATCTGCAGATTAACTAGGGTGATCCGTTAAAGTTGCTAAAATTGTTCTATTTCTCAAATTACCTACTAGGCACTTGGTAAAGTGAAAATAAGATTTTCGCTGGAACAACAACAACGTTTCTGTACGTTTAAATTAACATAATGTTCTTTATTTAATTTTCGATATCTAAAGAATCAACTTAATACAGTCAATCAACAAATTAGTTGATAGAATCAATCATCAACTAATTAAAAAAAAAAAATCAAACGGTTTAAAATATTAATACAATTAGGGAAATTATTATATAGATCAGTGTTTTCCAACCTTCTTGAATACGCGACCCCTTCACAAGTTAAAAATTTCTGGCGACCACCAGGGCCATATTAAAACTATATCAGTGATTTCAAAAACTACGAATTTAATTTTCTTTCTGTTAAGACCTAAATATTGATCGAAAAACCAATTGTACTTTAAAATAAAAACGCAAAGCCTTCTCACTTAAATTTTAGTTTTATTTATTGTAGTGTAGGACCTACAAACACTTGTCGTTTTCTTTTACCCGCGACCCCCATGTTAGGCTTTGCGACCCCCTAAGCGTCGCGACCCACAGTTTGAAAAACACCGATATAGATAACTACGTATAGAATTTCGGGACTTTGCATATCTATCTGAACTGAAGGGACCGAGACGACTTCAACAATACCCTACTTTTGGACCAGAGACGAAAAATAATAAAGTTATCATCCTTTTTCTGGTGATGGCATGATATAATTCTGCAGTTAATGTTACCTATGGTGAGTAAAATGGCGGCTCGTCTCTGATTCTAGAAAAGAGAAGAAAGGAAACAGTGGGGACGCACGTTCTCACCTAACCTAACCTATTCTAATAAATAACCATAATTATTACCAACCAAATTATTAGAATAGATTAGGTTAGGTTAGAACGTGCGTCCTTATGTTTCCTTTCTTCTCTTTGCTGGAATCAGAGACGAGCCGCCATTTTACTCACCATCGGTAACATTAACCAATTGTGCTTACTTATTAGTGCAGTCTAAAGATTGGTGACACTTTGAATTTCATAGCAATTGGTTTTTGCGACAAGAACACCTATTTGTGGTACTGTACATTTATTTGTGGCAAAGATCTTATTTTCACTTTACCGAGTGTCAAGTAGGTAATGTGCGGATTACCTGGATACTCTGCACATTATCTAGGTAATTTGAGAAATGGAACGATTTTCACAACTTTAACGGATCACCTTAGTTAATCTGCATATTAGCTAGGTAATGTACACATTAACGACTTTCGAGCTTTCGCGGTAACATATATACTCATATATAAATGAAAATAAATACATCAGTAAAATTCTATAAATAATTTTTTCTTCCTGTATGTGCTATACTTATAATATATAAAATTTATATCTTTACACAAATATTACAATAGAGAATAGCTTGTTATTTAAAAGACATTGTTCGTTTCTATGGCATTCGTCTTTTCTTTGTTGACAGAGATTCAAATCCTGTAACGTCATTTCTGTATTTATAGTTGTATGACAAAACTATTAGAACAGTAATATCCAAAATCCCCAGGCCGAAATAAAAAAATAATTTGTAAGACTAGAAAAATAAATATTAGTTTATTACAACAGTATTACAAAGTAAAAATATCGCACATTCACGAAAATATAACTTAAATCGTCATTAAAAGGATCTACATTTACTCTTATGATATTTTTTAAATGTTCCTTCTTCATAATATTTATACGTTTATAATAATAATAATAGAAATAAATAAAGACTTACCTCTTCAGTTAAAAATTTTAATTGCTGAATAATGAGAATTATGAAATTTGCAAACGCCGCATTCAGGAAAAGAAAAGCTTGAACAATGGATTTCATATTTTCGGGAGCCTTTAGCAACAGAAATGTTGGATTGGGTTAATTGTATATTGATCGAAATTTTAAATTAAAAACATTTAAAAGAATTACTTCGTTATATGCAAATTCTATAATACTAATGGCATGTATTATCTCTCCAATTGACAGCAATACGTATTGAGGAATTTGAAGCATGATGGACAGAGGTTTGCATTCTAATGTATTGTCTTGCTTCCAATCCTAAGTAAATAAAAAATACATATATTTTCTTGTCGAAATTGTTAATATATGTAATATTTGTATTACTAAGTCTCGAATTTGATTAATTAGAGTTATTAGTTTATGACTATACTGTCAATGTCCATGTTGAGAAAGTACTTTTTAAATTAAAACAATATAAAAATAACATTAGCACGAATATATGAAATCAATACGATGAGCAACGGAACATATGGGCCATCTGCCAATGAAAATACTTCCCGAGAAACTGGTCAGTTTTTAAGTGTTAATCATGCGAAGGATTAGGCAACCCGCTGTTGAGACGAGAATCCATGACGAACTACCAATATTCAATGATTTTATCTACTCGACCACTAAATGGCGAATAAGTGACGTTTTCAACAGTCATAGTTTTACATGATCATTGAACTCGTTAGACTACGTATACACGGTTGGCAAAATGTTGCTCTTAAAAATCGCCTTGAAATTTTGATCAGATTTCAAAAATAATAAAAATAAATTTTATGTTGTGTACTCAATTCCTACCGAAGTCCTAATGGAGAGATTTAAATCTTTGCCATCTGTCCCACACAAATCAATACACATTTTTAGTCCATTGCAATATACAGAAAATGATCTGATAACAAAGTGGTTAAGATGTCAATCAAGCGCACTGCAAACTCGAAATCAAATTTTTTAAGTGTGGTCTCTCCAAGACAGATTTAGATTCCGTTGGGATTCCGCTCATCAATCGCGCTCTGAACTTCATCACAAATAGCACCTATCGAGGGCAATATGAATAATTACCTTCGTGGCTGCGACATTGTCATCGGAACAAATAGTCAAAGTGACGTCAATCGAATTATAGTTTAAGAAAGTATAATTAATATTCGTGTTTATTGTAGTACAATTTATTACAATTGCATTAACAGTGGCGGCCTTAGGGGGTGGCGAGCAGGGCAATGGCCCGGGGCCTCGCTCTTGGAGGGGCCTCGCGCAACAACCAAGTAGAAAAAAGTTGATATTTAAAACTTTTTATTTTATCCTTGGCTATTAGTTATAACAATAAAATAAATTTAATTTATAATACAGTATATATTAATATTAATAAGTGCCTACTATTTCAATTCACATACTTTGCACAAAGGACAAGGGCCTCGCAAAGATCTGCCGCCCAGAGCCTCGCAATGGATAAGGCCGCCGCTGAT